CATGGAGGTCAGAAGAGGGCTTCAGATTCCCCTGGAACTGGAGTTAAGGATGGTTTGTACCCGCCATGTGGGTGCTGGGAATCAAACCCAGGTTCTCTGCAAGAACAACTAGTGTTCTTAACCGCTGAGCCATCTCTCCAGCCCCTTATATATTTTATTTAAGTATATGAATGTATAGCCTGCACATGTGTAAGTACATCCATGTCATACAATGATATGCAGAAGTCAGAAGAGGGCATCAGATGCGCTGGAACTGGAGTTACAGACAGTTGTTAGTTGCAATGTGGAAGCTGTGAACCAAACCTGGATCCTCTGCAAGACAGCCAGTGTTCTCAACCTCTGAGCCATCTCTCCAGCCCCCATTTTCTTTTTTAATAACAACATGATTTATTGAGTTATACCATGAATCACTTTACCTAGTGTATCAGTTTTTTCATTGCTGCGACAAAAGCAAATAAAGAGAAGGGGGTTTTTTTTTGCTTACAGTTTCAGAGGATACAGTTCATAACAGGAAAGGCATGTGGAGCAGCTGTCTGTGGTAGTGGGAGCTTATGACTATCACCTCTCACATATTGGTAGATCAAGAAGTAAAGATGGCACCATAAGAAAGATTGAGCTAAAGCCCTCAAGGCCTGCCTCTAGTGGCCTACATCTGTCAGCTAGACCCTGTGTTCCAAAGGTTCTAGAACCTCACAAAACAGCATCACCAGATGGAAGAGCTAGTATATTACTTTTCTGTTGCTGTGATAAAATACCATGACCAAAGCAACTTATAGAAGGAAGAGTTTATTTTGGCTTACAGTTCCAGAGGGATAAGAAAGAGTTCATCATGGTGGAGAGGCATGGCAGCAAGTGGCAGACATGGATTCAGGAGCAGGAAGCTGAGAGCTCACATCTTCAACAACAAACATGAAGCAGAGAAAGCAGCTGGAAGTGAGGCAAGGCTGTGAACTCTCAAAGCCCACCCCCCCCACACTCCCCCATGGCATACTTCCTCTACCAAAACCACATCTTCCTAAAGATTCCTTGACTTCCCAAACAGGACCACCAGTACTTGAACCTATGAGACATTTCTCTTTCCAACCACCATAAATGCATGAACCTATGGGGACATTTCAGATCCAACTCTAATAGATTTTCAGCAATTGGAAATGGTTATTTATAAGGTTCACACTATATTTTCCATTACAAGTAGTATATATATTTATGCAGATTATAAATTGAAATAGAATTTTCTCATATATTTTATATTCAAAGTATGCTTAAAATTTATGCATATTTTATTTATTCTGTGTGGGTTTTCAGGTTTTGGGGGTTTTTGTTTTTGGTCTTTTTGAGACAGGGTCTCCCTGTAGCCCCAGCTGTCCTGGAACTCACTATGTAGACCAGGCTGGCCTTGAATTCACAGACACCTGCCTGCCTCTGCCTCCGGAGTGCTGGGATTAAAGGTGTGCACCACCACGCCTGGCTTTTTTTTTTTTTTTTTTTTGAGACATGGTATCTCACTGATTTAGCCAGGCTGGCTGACCAGCAAGTGCCATGATCTACCTGTCTCTTCCTCTTCAGTGTGCAAAGAAATATGCGATCACTGCGTCTAACTTTTACAGCATGCTAGAGATCCAAACTCAGGTCCTTGTTCTTGCATTGCAAGTATTTTACTGACTGAGTCATCTCCCCAGCCTTGTGTTTGCTTTTTAGACGGGTCTTATATGTAACCCAAGTTAACCTCAGACTTTCTATGTGGCCAAGAATGACCTTGAACTCCTGATCCTCCTGCCTTTACCTCCCAAGCACTGAGATTACGGGCATGAGCCACTATACCCAGCTTGAAGTATTTTTCTATCTAATCAAACTTACAATGTTTATAGTTAATATATTTTTGCACAATCTGTATAAGTTAACTGGATAAATGGATGGATAGATCGATACATACATTACATACATAGATACATACATACATGCATAAACACATAATGTACATTGGCCCAATATAAGAAGTCTAAATAAAGCTGTTTAAAATCTTAGAAAATAGTGTTTTTAATAGCTACTTTCCAGAAAAAGCAGAGAAATAGCACTTGAACTGGACCTATAGGAACATGTGTGATTTGGGTACAGCAAGCTTGGGGTGACAGCTTTTCCAAACTGAGGAAAGAGCAGAAGCAGTGTCCCTAAAATAGACAATCCAGAGCTCATAAGGAATGTAAGCAGTACAGTTTGTCTGTAGCCTGGTGTTATGAAAGGATATACTTGGAGATAAAAGTTGAAAGGGTCTCTTGGAACCAGAAGATGGAAGACTTAAGGGTTGGCTAAAGAGGTTTTTAGTGCATGGTGGTACACACCTTTGATCCTAGCACTCAGGAGGTAGAGGCATGTGGGTCTCTGTGAATTCAAGGTCAGCCTGGTCTACATAGTGAGTTCCAGGTCAGCTGGGGCTACAGGGAGACTCTTTCTCAAAAAGACAAGAAAAAAAGGCTAGGCATGGTGGTGCACACCTTTAATCCCAACACTTGGGAGGCAGAGGCAGGCAGATCTCTGAGTTCAAGGCCAGTCTGGTCTACATAGTAAGTTCCAGGCCAGCTGCGGCTACAGAGAGACCCTGTCTCAAAAAGACCGGAAAGCGGGTGGGGGGCAAAAGAAGTTTTTAGAGTGGAGAAGATATGAGACTGTTTCCCAACCAGGTATGGTGCAAGCCTGTAATCTCAGCACTTAGGAGGTGTTGGCAGGAGGATCAATTTTGGGTCAGCCTTGGCCACCCTACAAGTTCCAGGCCAGCCCAGCTATTTGACACTGTCTCAAAGCAAACCAAAGAAAAAGAAAACCTTTCCTTTATCTGTTACATATTTAACCAATTGTAGAAAAATAGTAGGAGAAAAAGTTTGCATTTATTAAGTCTACAGCATTATTGGTTTAACTTTGTGTGTGTGTGTGTGTGTGTGTGTATATATATATATAGTATGCTAAAGGATCTTGATGACTCGGACAAAGAGAAAAACATTCTTAGCACATCAAATGAGCTTTCATCAAAACCAGAGAAAATAATTCCACTGGAGCGGGGTCCAGAAGCCAGTAGAGACTACAAAGGTATAAAAATCACATATTTCAACTACTTACTTTTGTAAAGTAATTGTATTTTCATACTGTAGCTAAATAGTACAAAATGGTAAATGTATTGTGCCCTGTGTGGTAATGCTGTAAATCATCTGGATTCATTGGTTAGCTAGCATTTGTTTGAACAACCCTTGAACACATTATCTCACAAAGCTCATTCTCCATCTTGAAAATGTTGCTTGCTAGAAAATCATTTCATAGAAAGAGCCAGAATTTGCCTCCCTGTAAATTTAATCCTTGTTAGGTGAATATGAAGCTTTTAGAAGTTTTGTGGGGTTACTTTTTGTTTTGAGATGGGGGTCTCCTGTAACCCCAGCTGGCCTGGAACTCACTATGTAGCCCAGGCAGGTTTTTAGTTCATGACAATTCCCCTTCCTCAGCCTCTTGAGTGCAGGGATTACAGAAAGCTCCTAGAAACTTTATCCCCACCACTGTCCCCCAGCTAAATAAGTCTTTATAACTACGTTGCTGTATGTAGCTCTTTCATTCTCTTGCTTCTCCCTTGTGTGTCCTTGATCTGGGTCTGGATGTCCATTTAAAGCTTAATACTTTTTTTGCCTGTTTATTGGAATTGTTCCTTTTCTTTTTTTTCCCTTTAATGCTGGGGATTGAACCCAGGGCCTCTGTGCTCTGCCACTTGGCTAGATCTCCAGCCCTATTCCTTTATGATTCTTTTTTCTCACCTGTTAAATATCTGGTGCAGCCAGGCATGGTACCACACGCCTTTAATCCTAGCACTTGGGAGGCAGAGGCAGGCAGATCTCTGAGAGTTCAAGGCCAGCCTGGTCTACATAGCAAGTTCCAGGCCAGCTAGGGCTACTGGGGGACTGTCTCAAAAAGACCAAAAAGATAGATAGATGATAGATAGATAGATAGATAGATAGATAGATAGATAGATAGATAGATAGATAGATAGATAGATGTAACTATCTGGTGTAATTAAGCAATAGCTTTGTACGACTTTGAAAAGTGACAGTCCCTTCTCTCACTTTTGAGTTTACTTCTTAGAGACACATTCAGGCTAAACATATTCGTGCTTTTATTCTGGATTGTTTTCCTTGTAGTATTGAAAAAAATTGTTTCCCTCTGTTTTCTCTTTTACTCTGTCCAGAACTTCTGTTTGGATGTTAGACCTACACTAATTGTCTTACATAACCTCCATCTCTTGTTTTTCTATGTGTTTGGAAAATTTCTCAGGTTTTTTTTTTCCATTTTGTTTATTTGGTTTGGTTTGTTTGTTGTTGTTGATATTTTGGGGCAGGGTCTCACTATATAGATTAGGCTGGCCTCAAACTCACAGGGATCCCCTGCCTCTGCCTCCCAAGTGCTGGGATTAAAGGTGTGTGCCACCAAGCCTGTCTAAAATTTCTTAGTTTTATCTTTTTAATAAATATTCTGTAAATTTATCATTTATATATGTATTATGTGTATGATTGTTTTGCCTACATGTGTATAAGTGCACCCATGCATACAATGCCTGCATAAGCCAGAAGAGGACATTGGATTCCCTAGAATTGGAGTTACAGGTCGTTGTTAGTCACCATTTGGGTGCTGGGAACCCAAATCCTCTATAAGAGTAGCCAGTGCTCTTAACCCCTGAGCCGTCTCTCCAGTCCCCTGAATTTATCGCTCTCTCTTTTTTGGGAGGGAGAGTCTTTTTGAGACAGGGCCTCTGTATAGCCCCTGCTGGCCTGGAACTCGATATGTAGACCAGGCTGGCCTTGAACTCAACAGAGATCCGCCTGTTTCTGCCTCCTGAGTGCTGGGATTAAAGGCATGTGCTACCATGCCCAGCTGAATTTATCATTTTTATCTAAGCAATTTCCCAGAACTCTTTTCTGTTCTCTGAGTATTTCTATAGGGCATGCTAGTCTCCTTTGACATGTGCTGTACTTATCCTGTGGTATATGTATGCATGCACTTACGTATGTGTAGTGTTCTCTGTTGTTTTCTTTCCTCCAAGTTTGTTTTTGTCTTGGTCTCTGCTTTTATTTTTAGAGGTTTTCCTGAAATATCTGATGTTTCAGTCACTCTTCTAAGAGCCCTACAATGCAAACTAATTTAATCTCCATACCAGCCCCATAAAGTGGTTGATGTTATCTCCATGTTAGAAACAAGGGAACTAAAGTAGAGGGGAGTTCATAATTACATGATTGCAGAATTACGGCAACAGTAGAGCTACGATTCTAGCCAGCAGTCTAGAGACTTGAGCTTACTCTGATAACCACTGCATTAGCCAGTTTCTGTATCACTAAATTTCACTATTATGATGATTCCTAGGATAGGGATATGGACAGTGCCCTACAATGTCAGGAACAGCTTCCCTATTAGCTGATACCAGTTAATTCATCACCTCTTACTCATCTAGTTCATGAATCTTTCTTTAGAATGTTCCTTTTCCTTCTCTATGGAATTTTAAAAGATTCAGGTATGGGACTCTAGAAAGGTCAGAAGGAGGGGGCGTTAGCTCCAAGTGATGCAGACCTGCAATAAAAACCTGTCTCCTACTCCTGACATTGTGACAACAGCACATTAATTAAACCTAAACCACTCTGGACCTTACTGGGCTTTGTTTGTTGAGTCAGGGTCTCATTACGTAGCCCAGGTAACCTCCAGCCCATAATCGTGCTTCTGCCTTCTGAGAGCCGTGAACACCTCCACGCTTAGTTCTTAGCCTTTTCTTGTAGAAAATGAAGAGAATACCTGTCTCGTTGCATAGCTGTCAGCTTTCAGGGTGCACTGTTGGCCTACAGTAAATGCCAGCTATTATTACCTGTCAGTCTAGTAATCCTTCCAAAGGAGGAACGTGAAGACAGCTGTTTTGTTTTTATGAACTTTCCATAACTCCATAATTGTTTCCTCTTTTTAAAACTACAAAGCAGCATTTTGATAGCATGTTCTTGAATTTTGCATTGATTTGACACCAGGATTACTAGTCTGTAGCTTTTGGCAATCACCTTCAATTTTTTTTTTTTTTTGAAAGTTAGTACAATATTAGTCTGTCTTCACTTTCCTTGAGCCTTATCAGTTGGTGCCTCACATATCAGCATTGAGGGCTCTGAGGTCTCTTTCAAGGGTTCTTCTTGTAGTCTGAGGTACAGTCTATCTGGCAAGGGAGACGTGAGTTTCTTGCCACTGTCTAGGTACTGGTGTCTTTGAGTCTGCCTTGGCTTTAAGTTCCTTCAAATCATTGTGCAGTCTCTTCTTTCCAGTCTGAGGCTGGTATGCCTTCCAAAGTGACAGAAATTCAGCAATGCCACTTTCAGCACTTCGTATCTTAGCATCCCTCTTCCCACACAGTCACCAGTAGTAGGCCACATTTCTTGGGTCATTCTCATGCAGATGGTTGTCCCCACACTGTTCTGTTTTTTTCCTCTTTTTCTTCTTCCTGTCTTTTAAACCCTTCAGCTGGCTGTTCTTCATCTGAAGCCACATACAGAGCCTCATCTTTCTTCTCGGAACATTTTTGTCCTTTATCTCCTTGTCTCCCGAGAATACTGTCTCCCCTATTGCCCATGTAAACTGACTTTCTTTCCCACATACCATAAGCCTTTGAAGTCGGGCAGGCATTTTCTTTGTTTATATTGCTGCCCTAAACCCTTTGTTTGCTTTTCTTCGTTTAAACCATTCATTCCTTTGAAATTGTCTCGTAGTTACGTGGCTTCATAAAGAAAAAGGTGCAGGGGCTTGGGGAGGGTAATACATTTGGGGAGTACATGTCTGGCATTTTCATATCCAGGATTCCATCCTCATTCTTTATTTATAATTACTTTATAGCCAGAGAGATAAGTGTACAGCAGCAGCTTATTCACGTGATGGAACACATCTGTAAATTAGTTGATACTATTCCTGATGATGAACTGAAAGCTTTGAATTGTGGGAATGAGCTGCTTCAACAACGAAACATAAGGTATCTTGATTTTCCTCCTTCTGGAATGTATCTAATTGCAGTTCTGCCACTCCAATTAAAACAGAAAGGCAAATTGGTGAGGCTTTCTGGCCTAGAAATTACATAAGGATGATTGTCCTGTCACTAAGTTTTAAGTTTATTTAGTTTTCAAACCATCCCTTTAAGATTTGTATTCACAACCTGGCTATCCTGGACTAGAGTGGAGACACACTGTCTTAAAAAACAAAAATACAGCTGGGCATGGTGGCACATGCCTTTGTTCCCAGCACTTGGGAGGCAGAGGCAGGTGGATCTCTGAGTTCAAGGCCAGTCTGGTCTACATAGTGAGCTCCAGGACAGCTGGGGCTACAGGGAGACCCTGTCTCAAAAAGACCAAAAAATAAAATAAAATGAACGTAAATTTTTATGGTCTACTATAGCAAACTACTTACATTTAGTATGTTCTCTTTCTCTCTTCAGAAGGAAACTCCTAGCTGAAGCAGATTTTAATAGAAATGATATCAGTCTTCTGAGTTCAGTGTGGACACACGGGCCTGATTCACTCGGTAACACTATGGAGGGTGATTCCTGCCCTGTAGGGAATCCTACTAAAGAGTTAAATTTTCCATACCTTCTCTCAGATTCTCTTTCCACTGGGGAATGTTTACTGACCACCACTCCAGGAAAGACAGGATTCTCAGCTACCATGAAGAATCTCTTTGAAAGGCCGTTATTGAATTCCCATTTACAGAAGTCCTTTGTAAGTAGCAATTGGGCTGAAACACCAAGGACAGAAAAAAGAAACGAAAGCTCTTATTTCCCAGGAAATGTTCTCACAAGCACTGCTGTGAAAGATCCGAATAAACACACTGATTCAGAAAATAACTCGGAAAGAGAAATCCAGGCTTCCTACAACATTGATAATTTTAATATAGATGACTTTGATGATGATGATGATGACTGGGAAAATATAATGCATAATTTAGCAGCTAATAAACCTTCCACAGCTGCCTACCCACCTATCAAGGAAGGTGGGCCAGTTAAATCAGTATCAGAGAGGATTTCTTCAGCCAAGACAAACTCTCTTCCAGTGGCATCTACTGCTCAAAATAAAAACTTCTCAGAGTCAATTTATAATTACACTGGTAAGTTTAAAATAAATGAATGCTTAAATATTATAGGAAAACAAAACTGTCCAAAATAGGGATTGTATAAGAAAGGGCATCTTGTCATTGTCTGAAAATCACATTGTTTCTATGCAAATTTCTACTGATAATATGAATTACAGATCACAATTTCAAACACAAGTTGCTCTTTTGTCTCCGTAGCAGCTGTAGGTTTATAAAATGTGTAATTATAACCTATTGTAGTAAAGCTTTAAAGTCATTACAAATGTGCTTTTCCTTTAAACTAACTTTTTCTAGTCCCCAAAACAATAAAGCTCATGAGTGCCAAGTTTTTAGTGATTTTGAAATGGAAAAAAAGATGAATTTATATGCTAAAAATATGTATGTTTTTAAAACATATATTGATGTGAAATAATTTCATTTATAGAGAAATGTTTTATGTGTTACAACATTCAAATATAAGGCAGCCTAAGAATATGAAGTCAGAAATTCAATAAATAGTGAGCCAGGCATGGATGCTCAACACCTATAATCCCAGCACTTTTGAGGATGGGGCAGGAGGAGTACAATGAGTTTGCAGCCAGTCTCACCTATAGAGTGAGACCTTGTCTCAAAACAAAACCTCCGTAAATACTCATTGAGTGCTCTTGATGTGTCATATCCTGGGATGGGTTCTGGAATAAACTGAGCTACTGTAAAGGCTTCAGAGTGAGGCCAAAATTAATTCTAAAACCTAACATCAGCCCTATAAAGTTATCACCATGTTCGTTACTGAAACAAGAATACACGTGCAGTTTTATGAAGTACAGCCCTCCCTGTTTTTGCACCATTGATGACTTAATGCCTCTGAAGTTGTTCTTACAGTGATGCTGTTGACCTTTAAAATAGCCATTAATAGATTTATTTTGGTATGCTAGGATGTGTCATACTTATGTCTGCAATTATCTTTGAGACAGTTGAGTGTTGGAGTGAGAGGAGCTGCCAGAGCTGGTATGTGAGAACCTCTCGTTCTCTAGAATCAGAGCTGCCCCAGTGAGGATGCAGAGCAGGGAGAGATGTGAGAGACAGTGAAAGATGAACTTGAAAAGTTCAGGTGACTGAGGTTTCAGACCCGGGTGACTGCAAAGCTATGACACCATTCACAGAAATAGGGAAGTCAGGAGCCAGAGTCAGATTTAGAGAAGTTGAGAAGGGCTATTTTCAGACTGTTGAATTTAAAACATTTGGAAAATCTTTCAGGTAGAAATGTCTTGCAGATAGTTGGATGTGCGTGTAGGATGGGAATTTAGGCTGTCAGGATTGAACTAGGCATTGTCTGCTTGCAGATTATGTTTAAAGTTATAGGACTAGGAAAATTCCAAATAAGAATGTGTAAAGAGCCCAGCCTCAAGTATCTAAAAGACTCCCAAGGTTAATGAGCAAGAGAAATGGAGCCAGGAGAGGAGTCTTAAAGCCAGTAAAGGGGCTGGGGGGCTAGCTCACTGTGTGCCATGTATGTGTGCTGGGTTCTGGTTCTACTACACTAGAATACTTGCCCAGCATGCACAAACCCTAGGTTTGCTCTCTAGCACAGCAAAAAGTAAAATAAAACAAGTAGAAAAGTCATGATCTCAAAGATCAAGGGAGAAGAGGGATGGGATAAATTATATTGATGGGGCTGCAGAAAACTCAAGGAAAGACTTGATTTAGGCCTGTAGGAACTTCTGAGACTAATTGGAAGGAAACCATGTAAACATTTTATGCAGTAGGGAGAGATGTGTCATTGATTCTGCAAGGGAAAGATGAATGCTAAAGCTATTGTTACTGTATTAATGCACTGATTTTTTTTAATTGATTATTTTTGTAGATAAATTGGCGCAAAATTTATCATCCAAAAATAAAAAACATGAGCACTTTCAGAGTCTTAATTTTCCTCATACAAAAGAAATGATGAAGATTTTTCATAAGAAATTTGGCTTGCATAATTTTAGAACTAATCAGCTAGAGGCGATCAATGCTGCGCTGCTTGGTGAAGACTGTTTTATCCTAATGCCCACTGGTATGTATTTTTAGATATGAATTGGCAGAAACCCATTGGCAGATGTTAAATGAAAACTCTTTAATAGAAATGAAAAGAACACCTACACAATATTCTTATCATTTAAGGACCTTTTAAACCTCCCAAACCACAGTAAGAGTGTTTATCATCTAATAGCCTCTGTTCTAGTTGTTGACATGATAAGGTTTATAGCCCTTTAAGACTGTTATTTCATTGGGTTGACCTGATATAGAACTTTTCTTGGCGAAGTTTTCTTTATTTCTAATCTAAATAAGCCCAGGAAGGGAATGGATCATTGTTAGACACGATGACCATTCTGGCTGGACCTTTGATGGTACAGTACGGTAGTTCAGATCATCATCTCTGGATGCAGCTCTGCCCCTTATGAGGGAGCAGTGGTATGCATGTAGGCAAGCCATTTCACTCTCAGGACCTGATTCCTTTGTAGGTATGGTAGGGACAGTACATAGTACAGTGCCCACTTCACAGAGCATCCAAGGATAGAGTGAAATGGACTTGACACAGTTCTTTCTTAGCCAGTTTTGAAGAGACCAGGACTTTTTGTTATGAAAGTCTATAAGAGCTACTCAGATCATCATCTCTAGAGTGAAGGCCTGCCTTCCAATGCCCCTCTCAAACACAGTACAAATATGAAGTAAGCAGCTAGGCAGTTCAGCACCTCCATGTAGTTCTTCCTGTCTTTTGCTTGTCTTGTTATAACCTTTAAAAGGCAAGTCAGTCAGTGCTACTGTTATTATTACATACTTTTGATTGGGCATCTGAATTTCTTTAAACTGGTTTTAAAGTGTTTTTATTATCATTATTATTCTATGGGGCATATGGGTGTGATTGGAGGAGCACATGTGTGCCACTGTGTGAATGTGGAGGTCAGAGGACAACTTTATGGAGTTCGTTTCTCCTTTTACCTTCTCGTGGGTTCCGTGAATTGAACTTTGGTCATCAGGCTTGCATAGCAAGCAGTTTTACGCTGTGAGCCATCACTCGGGCCCCCAAACTGATTGTAAAGTTTAGGCAATGTTAGCTTATCTGTATTTCAGATTTTAGTAACTTAATGATCACTGTACCCCTGTTTCAGCCCTAATTTGGTTCTTGACAGCTCTGACCCTGGGAAGGACTTTGGCAGTAATCTCATCAAGCTTTCAGAGCCTTCAGTGGCCCTTCTACCTCAGTTTCAGCTCTTGACAAATACATTATAAAGATTCCAATTCTTTATGTGTGTGTGTGTGTGTGTGTGTGTGTGTGTGTGTGTGTGTGTATTCCACCCCCCTCCCCCCAGTCTTTTTGAGACGGTCTCCCTCTAGCCCCAGCTGTCCTGGAACTCACTATGTAGACCAGTCTGGCCTTGAACTCAGAGATCTGCCTGCTTCTGCCTCCCCAGTGCTGGGATTAAAGGCGTGCGCTACCACGCCCGGCTATATATATATGTCTTATATATCTTTATAATCTTTATATCCAAGTTTCTCTTGGATAAATTCTTTTAAAACCACTAGCTTTTGTAGATGATGGAATTAAGGCCTCATCAGGTTAAGTAGCATGTCTGAGTTCATGCAGCTATTTAAGTGGTAGAGCAGGTCTCTTTAGTCCCATCCCAGCATCCCATTCGTGCCTTGACATTGCCACATACATGCCAAAATGAAATTTGGTCACTATTTATTAAAAAAGAAGGAATGTACTATATGCTTTGAAAAAAAGAATGAAGTCCTAAAAACTACCTAGCAGTAGCTTTTGCCATTAGTAGATGGATGAAATGGAAAATTATTTAGAATACAATCATTTGGTTATTTTGAAACGTGTACTTGGGACTTGGGGTATAACCCATTGATAAGAGCCTTGCCTAGCACACACAAAACCCTGGGTTTGATCCCCATCACTCAGGTAGAGACAGGACAGAGAAAGGAAAAGAAGTGTATATTTACTATCTTGCCATTTTGAATTAGAGCTAAACAGCAAAAATTTTGTTAGATTTTCAGGTTTTTTCTTCGTCTTTTGTTAATATATTCAAATATAGTTCTACCCTTTTATTTCAAAGGAAGATTAAGACTATTACCTTAGAGGTGAGGGTACTGGGAGTTAAAGCTCTGTGTTTCAAGGCTCAGCCTAATGTTTTTAAAATACTGAGATCCCAACAGGGGATGTAGCTCAGTGATAAAGCACTTGCCAGTATGTATGTGTAGGGCCCTCAGCTTGTGTGTGTGTGGGGGGGGGTGTCATAATAACCAAGTCGTTGGTTTTTACTGTTTTTATATGTATATGTGTATATATGTGTGTGTGTGTGTATATATATATATATATATATGTCTTTTTGAGATAGGGTCTTCCTGTAGCCCTAGTTAGCCTGAAACTCACTATGTAAACCAGGTTGGCCTAGAACTCAACAGAGATCCCCCTCCCTCTGCCTCCTGAGTGCTGGGATTAAAAGTGTGAGCCGCCACACCCGGCTATTTTATTACATTATATAAAAAGCAATTATGACTGGATGTGGCGACACAGGGAGACAATGGCAGGCAGATCTCTATAAGATTGAGGCCAGCGTGGTCTACATAGCGAGTTCCAGGCCATCCAGGGCTACATCGTGAGACCCTGTCTCCAAAAAAAGCAATTATGTTAGTCCCAGAGTTATTTTTAGAGACCCCTTATATTGCCAAATGTTTGGATTTGTCAGACTTTATAAACAATTCTTGCTCTGGTTCTTGCTTTACTATTGCATGAGCCTATATAAGATGTCTTGAAAGATTGTTTGCACATTATTAAGTTTTCTAAAGAGTTCATGTAATTCACTATGGAGATTGCTAAGCCCATGGGCAATATCACTTGATATCCTGTTAATTATTTTGAATATTATATTTGGTTTCCTTGATAACTTTTACCTTCATACTCTCAAAATAGATGCTGACAGATTGTTGTTGTTGTTATTTGTCTTTCAGGAGGTGGTAAAAGTTTGTGTTACCAGCTACCTGCTTGTGTTTCCCCTGGGGTCACTATTGTCATTTCTCCCTTGAGATCACTAATAGTAGATCAAGTCCAAAAGCTAACTTCTTTTGATGTAAGTTATTACATAAAAATATTAATAAAAGGGTGAGACGTGGTAGTACATACCTTTAATCCCAGCACTCAGGGGGCAGAGGCAGGTAGGTCTCTGAATTTGAGGCCAGCCTGTTCTATACAGAAAGTTCTAGGCTAGGTTACATAAGAAACCCTGTCTCAAAAAAAAAAATTAATAAAGGCACTTGCCACCAAATCTGAGGACCTGAGTTCAATCCCTGGAACCCACCCACATTGTAAAAGGAGAGAACCGACTCCTGCAAGTTGTCCTCTGACTTCCCAATGTGTTCGTACACACACAATTTCAATTAAAATAAAAAGGGTCTGGAGAGATGGCTCAGTAGTTAAGAGTACTGGCTGCTTTTGCAGAGGACCCAGGTTCAGTTCCCAGCACCCACATGGCAGCTAACAACTGTCTGTAACTCCAGTTCTAGGGGATCCAAGGTCCTCTTCTGGCCTCCTGGGCATTGCACACACAGGCATAATTACATACATGCAATCAGAACACTCATACATATAACAAAAATAAAAATGAATTAAAATGTGCCTTAGAAACACGTATTTAATCTTTCTTTAACTATTGTTTATGAATTATAATAATTCATTAATTATAGTTTAGCGCATATGTTTGTAATATTCTGATACAAATAACCATCTATAATTCAATCTGATTTTAATTCTCCTACAAGAATGTATTTTAGTAAGTACGCTTTTTCTCTTTTTTATCCCCAGCTGGCATGGAACTCACTCTTTAGACCAGCCTGGCCTTGAACTCGCAGAGATCCACCTGCCTCTGCCTCCTGAGTGCTGGTTCTTGCCACCACGCCCAGCAAGAACTCTTAACCTATATTTTGCTATTGTAAGTTTTTTCTTAACAATATGAAAGGGTTTCTTTTTTTTAACTACTGCCAGAGCACCATAGTTCTTTCCTCTTTGTCCTAAATGTGTGCACATGTGAGGAGCTGTACACCTGTATTTTTTTCTTCATTCCTGAGTTGAAGGAGTTACAACTGCATTCTATTGGATTCTTCACATTGCCGTCAACAGAGTTGCATACAGTATTATGAATCATAATGTCTCCACATGACAGCTGGTATGATTTTTCTTCCAAAGAATGTCAGTGCAGTGATGGTGACCATTGCCTTGTTGTTTATAATAATACAGCTATCATCACTGAGCATTAAAACCTTCAGGATGTATTGACCTTAAAAGAAAACAAAAAAACTAGCTGGCCTGGGACTCACTATGTAGACCAGGCTGGCTTTGAACTCACAGAGATCTGCCCAAGTTTGAGGCTTGCCTAGCCTATACAGTGAGACTGACTGATAAACGCAAAAATTTTTTTAATGAAAATAAAATATGTACACTGATTATTTGTGTTATTATAAGATACTGTTTTCTTTTGATAGGTTTAATATGTGATTTATGAAATATTTATAAAACCTAAATAGCATAATCATGTTAGATTAATGTATAAAATTTAAGTTGTTGCTTTTACTCTTAGATTCCAGCTACGTATCTTACTGGTGATAAGACTGACTCAGAAGCTGCAAATATTTACCTCCAGCTATCCAAAAAAGACCCAATTATCAAACTTTTATATGTTACTCCAGAGAAGGTTTGTATTTATTTTACTACTTTTAATGTAATACTGAAGGACCCTAGAATACATTTTTTTCAAAATTGGTTGTAATTTTTTGTGTACAGTATAGTCAAAGAATTCTTGTGTAACTTTCACTCCCAAAATGGTAACATTTTACTACAATTCCTTTATAGCTTATTCTTTTTCTAGTTTTTTCTGAAGCATTTGATTGAGAACGTACCATTTTAACCCTAATTACTCCATTGTGCATTTTCCTAAACTAAAGAATTCTCTTAACCATAGCATAAATATCAGAGTCAGGGCCTACACAGCAATACAGTACTGTACTTAACCCCTTCATCATCTTCTTGCTTCACCAGTTGCCCCAGTAATGTCCTTTGTAGCAAAAGAAAACCCCAGTTTAATTTCCTTTTATCTGAACAGTTCACTTTCTTATCTTTCATGATTCTGACATTTTTGAAACATAAAGGCTAGTTATTCTGAGAACTGCCTCTCAGTTTGAGTTAGTCTTATGTTTCCTGCTGATTAAACTTGTGGTATTCATTCTGGCCCAAGTATTACAGATGTGGTATGTTCCCATGAGTGCTATCAGAAGGTATTGACATGAACTGATCCCATTACTGATGGTGCTAGTTAACCAGCCACTTGATTAAAATAGTAACTGCCAGGCTTTTCCCTTGTAGTTAGCAGAGGGTCCTCCCTGCCCCCCTTCATCTTTGTAATTAGTAGATACCCTGTTGTAGGCTATCCTGAAACTATTTAAATATCCTGTTAGACATCAGAGCTTTCCTACAATTTTAAGTATCTATTGATGATTCTTTCCGAATCAGTTATTACTGTAATGCATGCCAAATTTTGATTTTACTAATTTAATTAATCATTCTAACATAAGGAGAGTTTTGCCTTATGCTACATGTTTATTTATATCAGTGTGAACTTGTACATTCTTAATTTATGTAGTGGATTATAATCGATTATCACTATATATTTTGATGTTCTAATTGCCCTAGATTTGAACAGTGAGGAAGCATCACTAACCTGGCTTCTGTGTCCTTTTCATATGTCCCTGTCAAGAAGTAGGTACTAGACATGCTTGCTGTGACTGGGATGTCGTTTCTACACCCTGTCATGGACAAAGCTACAAAGTACATACATCTATCTATATGTGTAATACATCTAATTATCCCCCAAATAGTATCCACATACTTAACACACATCTAACAGTCCTCTTACCAGGCTGGTGAGATGGCTCAGTGGGTAAGGGGTGCTTGCCAACATGCTTAATGACCACAGTTTGATTCCTGAGACCCACATAGTGGAAGAGAACTGACCACCATAAGTTGCCTTCTGACCTCCACACACGTATATCATGGCATATGTGCACCCACAGTCACATACAAAATTAATAAATTCAAAAAATTTTAAGTCTGTTACCAATATAAACACATGGCAATCATCAGATATATTGAGCAGAAAAAAGTTTTACTGTTAAGTAAACTGTTTATTGAATGTGGGTAAGCATTCTAAAATGTCTCATTTGCTATTTTCTATTACTTCTGTTCTCTCCTTAGCTTGAGGTAAGAATCACTTGTGTTGAGCAGTTCTAATAGCACTTAATTGAAATGCTAAAGGACAACAGTCATTTACACGATATGTTTAGCTATCTTGTATCTCTCTGGTCTAGGTCTGTGCTAGTAACCGGCTGATTTCCACTCTGGAGAATCTGTATGAGAGGAAGCTTTTGGCACGTTTTGTCATTGATGAAGCGCATTGTGTGAGTCAGGTAAGCACTGTTTTTATGTCTTGGCGTGTCAATAAATTTATACCTCCAGTAGTACACACAACCACAACACTGAAGAAAAACTCCCACTGGATGAACTATTCTGCCACTTCACTGAAGAATAAAGTAGTCCCTAAGATATTGACCAGTCAGTGCTGGTTTTTTATATTGGCAAGTTCCAAATAATCTGAAAGCATTATTTTTTTTCCAACTAGTGGGGACATGATTTTCGTCAAGATTACAAAAGAATGAATATGCTTCGCCAGAAGTTTCCTTCTGTTCCAGTGATGGCCCTCACCGCCACAGCAAATCCCAGGGTCCAGAAGGACATCCTCACTCAGCTGAAGATTCTCAGACCTCAAGTGTGAGTTATTGAAGGCCATGTATTTCCATTCTCAGCTATTACACATTCAAGTCACTTTTGTATGGCTTTAAAAATCCCAGGGCCTAGACTGTACCCCAGGACAACTAAATCAGAATATTTGGAATTGGGAGAGGGGTTTTTTTGTTTCTTTTTTTTTTTTTTACAAAAACTTTATTGAGAATTTCACACATGCATATAAGCTGTTTTAATCAAATCCGTGCCCACTCCCTCCCCTCCAGTCAACCTTCTGAAGAGGTAACCCTAAAATCTTTTAAGGATTAGATACAAGCTCTCAAATACTTTTGACATTTTTGGCCTTGGAACAGAGCGTGTTGCTAACAGGCCCAAGGACATTTTGACTTTTAGCCAAGAAACTGGCTACATTTCTTTGGGGTCTTTTTACCCTAACTGCCTAGCCAATTCCTACCTCCTATTCTTATCACGCCATCCTCTGAAGGGGCTACCCAAATTGCCAATAGAGAATAGGGACACAGACTGCTCTGGCTTCTTCCATACTGAACAGGGACACGGTGAGGCAATTGGAGTACCCCTTCAGTGAGTCTATCTAAATGACTCCCAAATTGCATGACTTTTGTCTCTAAGAGGAGAAGAAAGTCCTTGAATCATGAATGGGAGATGTGAGGGAGAAGTAAAGGCAAGAGTAATTAGCATTACAAGTTCTAGACAGGGAACTAGAAAAAAGTTAGAACAGGGCAATTTTCAAATGTTCATATGAGAGTCCATTGAAGTTTCTTGGCAAGGGCTTCCAAAAGCGTCCCTCTATTGGGTTCTTCCTCATTTTTCTTTTGTCTTCCAAGGCTGGACTAGTTGGCTGGGAAGAATGACTGGATATTCAGGTGAGGGTCCAATGACCCTGCTTGGCACTCCTTTAATGAATGAGCACAACCGTCAGCAAGCCCACTTGTGACTGTGTTTAGCAGCTCAGCTGAAGTTGATAATGGTAGTTATTTCATGCAGAAGGGACTGCTATACATCATCATCTTATTAAAAGGATCTGGAATTTAAAAGGATTTGGTGCCGAGCCACATATGAGGGAAAACATACATTGTTTATTTTTCTGAGTCTGTGTGACTTCACTTAGTATAACAGTTTCTAGATCCATTTACCTGCAAATTTCATCTTTCTTTACTGCTGAATAGAACTCCATTGTGTAAATATAACACGTTTTTGTTAACCACTCGTCAGTTGAGGGACACCTAGGTTGCTTCCATCTCTTAGCTATTGTGAAAAGAGCAGCAACAAACATGGTTGTACAAGTGTCTCTACAATAGGATGAGTCCTTTGGGTATATGCCAAGGAGTGGTATAACTGGGTCATATGGTAGGTTCATTTGTAGTTTTATAAGAGTTCTCCACACTGTTTTCCATAGAGGCTGCACAAGTTTGTAACCCCACCAGCAGTGGATGAGTGTTCCCCTTTCTCCACATCCTCACCAGCATTTGGTATCATTTGTTCTCTTGGTCCTAGCCAGTCTGATTGGGGTAAGGTGATACCTTCGGGTGGTTTTAATTTTCATTTCTCTAATTACTAATGATGTTGAACACTTTTTGAGATGTTTCTTAGCTGTCTTCATTTCTTCTTTTGAGAACTCTCTGTTCAGGTCCTTAACCCATCTTTTTATTGGGCCATTTTTTTCTTGTTTCTTTGTTCTTTGAATTATTTGTATATTTTAGATATTAGTTCTCTGTCAGATGTGTATCAGGTAAAGATTTTCTTCCATTCAGTGGATTTCCTATTCACTTCTTTGGTTGTTTCT